GAAGGGAGAGGCAGCCCTCCTCAGTGGCAGCATGGTCTGGGGACGGCAAGCTGTGGATTTCAGGGACTATCTGCCACTATGCTGTCCTCCTTGCTGGAGGACAAGACCCTTTTGTACCTTTTTCAGCTTCGTGACCCTCTGCCTCTTCCAGCTGCTGAGTGGCATGTGAGAAGGAGCCTTCAAAAAGATGAGTGTCTACAGCCCTGCAGAGAAGGACTTTGGGGGTGGATGAGAAGCTCACCATGAGCCGGCACTGTGCGCTGGCAGCCCAGAAAGCCAACCGTGTCCTGGGCTGCATCCAAAAAAGCGTGAGCAGCAGGTCGAGGGAGGGGATTCTGCCCCTCTGCTCTGCTCTCATGTGACCCCACCCACAGTACTGTGTTCCCCTAAGAGGCCCCCAACATAAGAAGGACATGGACCTGTTGGAGCAGATCCAGAGGAGACCACAAAAAAATCAGAGGGATGAAACACTTCTCCTATGAGGAAAGGCTGAGAGAGTTGGAGTTGTTGAGTCTGGAGAACAGGAGGCTCGGGAGACTCCTTGTAGCAACCTTTAAGTACTTAAAGAGGGCTTATAAGAAAGATGGAGAGAGACTTTTTACTAAGGCCTGTAGTGACAGCGTAAGGACCAATGGTTTTAAGCTGTAAGAAGGTAGATTTAGATTGGACATAAGGAAGAAATTTTTATGATGAGGGTGGGGAGACATTGGAACAGGTTACCCAGAGAAGTTGTGGATGCCCCATCCCTGGAAACATTCAAGGTCAGGTTGGGTGGGGCTTTGAGCAACCTGATCGAGTGCAAAAAGTCCCTGCCCGTGGCAGAGGGGTTGGGCTAGATGACCTTTAAAGGTCCCTTCCTACCCAAACCATTCTGTGATTCTATGAAAAAGGGGTACAGTCAGCACCACTTCCCTCACAGCCTGAACTTTGTCGCTCTCCTCTGACCTTCGCCTGGTCCATGCACATCCCTCTCCCGCAGTCACGCTGCAGGAAGGCAGTGACTGAACATGTCTGCAGTGCTTGTGGTCAGAGGTTGTCCTATTGCTGTGCATCAATTGTTGGAGTACGGTGGGTGAAACAGGAGATGGCAGTGGTGTGGTGCCCAAGGGCGAGGAGGTGCTGGGAGGAAGCATTGGCAGTGACACTGATTGTAGGGAGACAAATCCCTGCCTTGCTGCAAAATCATAGAGTCATAGAATCGTCTGGTTGGAAGAGACCTTCAAGATCATTGAGTCCAACCATTCACCCTCCACTGTCAGGGTCCCTAAACCATGTTCCTCAACACCAAATCCACATGGTTTTTAAACACCTCCAGGGATGGGGACTCCACCACCTCCCTGGGCAGCCTGTTCCAGTACTTCACAACCCTCTCTGTAAAGAATTTTTTCCTGATATCTAACCTAAATTTCCCCTGGCGTAACTTGAGGCCATTCCCTCTCGTCCTGTCATTCATAACATGGGAGAAGAGACCGACCCCCATCTCCCTACAACTTCCTTTCAGGTGACTGTAGAGAGCAATAAGGTCCCCCCTGAGCCTCCTCTTCTTCAGACTGACCAGTCACAGCTCCCTCAGCTGCTCCTCACAGGACAAGTTCTCTAAACCCTTCACTAGTTTCGTTGCTCAGGTAATAAAAGAAATGCTGGCCAGAGACCTCTTTTAAAAGCAACAAGCTGGGCTCATGGGAAGAAGAAGAGGAAAGCTTTGTAGATGCCAAATTTCGACTTTCCCCCATGGTGCTTTTTATCTGTGCATGAAAAGCTTCTCGTCCTCAAAGTCCCCATGCTGCTTGCCAGGGCCTTCCTTCACCTCTGCCTTTGCTCCCAGTAAGCCAGTGTCCCCACCCACGGCTCTCAGTCCAGACCTGAGCTCTGAGCTGCCTGAAAAGGCCGTCCTGAGGAATTAGAGCTGCAGAGCAGGGGCAGGGGCATAACCGGGTGGATGAGAAAGACATTCAGAGGCAGGACAAGGAGAAAGCAGGGAGGGGAGGGGAGAACTGGGCTAGAAGTGCTTCCTCAGCCAACGAGGACAACTTGTCCAATGTCCATCCTCCATGCCGCTGTAAGGAATCGGGCAGACCGCCTGGACACACGCAGGTTATTGCCTCAGTGCTGGATGGAAACACCCAGACACACGTGTCCTGGTGCTCCTGAGTGAGCAAAATCAGTTTTGTTTTAATGCCAGTCGCTATCCCCTCCTGCAAGGGCCAGCACTGAGCTTTGCTGTGTGTTGGTACAGTGGTGTGATGTGGTTTCTTACAGAATCACGGCACAGGAAGGAGCTGGTACTGCCGCAGTGTCAGGCAGAGATACGGGATGTAAACTGGTAGGAAATTAATGTAAACTGGTAGTGCTCTCTCATTCAGGTATCTCCTGGTTTGACAAACATTGCAACTTGTACCCTCTACTTGAAGCTTGACATAGTGTCTTCTGGGCAAATAAAGGACTATGCATGCAGGGCATGAGCATGTCCTCCCAAAAGGAAGTGGAGTAAGGCCGATAAATCCTTGTTAACCTCTGGATAATATGCAGTTCTTCAGCCTAACAGACTCCCCACAGTTATGAAGTTTTCTCGCTGTATCAGTGGATGTCTTTTGGTATCCTTGAAGGTATGAAACCTAGATGCACAAGATAGTCAACATCCTGTTTTGCCTTAGATGTAGGAATCAGGATACTGTGATTAGAAAGTGCTGGCCGTTTTTTCAGTGAAATCTTGATAACCTGAAATGAAGCCCATTTGCCTTTATTCCAAAGTAAAGAATTTGTATTTCTTGGTTTCACAGCAGTAACTTTCCAAGGAAATGAGATACAATATGTAACACAATTCTTCTGATAAATAATGCTGACTTTCCCTAAGCAAAGCACTAGTTTAGATATTTCATTCTTTCTGTTTCAACTTCCAGGGTTTTTTTTCTGAACCCTTCACTGAAAATAGAACGAAAGCAGACACAAAAACTGCTTCTTAGCATATCCTTCAATTTTTTTATGCTGTTTCCCAGCAGATGAAGAAAAGGGGAGACCCTGTCCTGTCAGAGAGTGACTTGACTTGGCCCGGCTGACTTTAGGTTTTGGGACAGGATCAGCTTCATGGTGCCACTGTTGGCCCAGGTTGGTTGGTGAGTAAACGCAACACTCAGAGATGCTCTAAGCTTGCTGTACTGGGGCTAGGCTGTATTCACAATCCTCTGAGAGCATCTCTGGCTCCCAGAAAGGAGCCAGCCTAGAGATAACACCCCAAGGATGGAGCCCTGGAAGTTGCATAGCAGTATCTGAGCTGCTTTGTTGACTGTTCTGCTCTGATAGCGCTCGTTTGTAGTGTCTGCTGATGAAACCCTTATTCTGCCTCCCTCCTGAAAAGATTCTAGTGAAAGGCAGAAAATGGCCCTTTCCTGTCTGGTTACTAGTGATGTTGCCCAATTCTGGTAGAGTGGATCTGTAGTGAGGGGCTGTCCAGTCCCCTCAATGTTCAGGAACTCAAGTTTCTCCACTCAGAGCTTTGCTGAGAAGTTCCTACTTTGACCTGAGATGTGGTTGTTAGCTGTCTAGCTCTTCAAACTCTTTTTCTCCCCGCTACCTGAGCAACAATGGCCTCTTTGGGGATTCCTGGGTTCAAAATCTCCTGGTTTGTGGCTCTGGCAATGATGATAGGGATGAGGACCAATATGGCTCTTCATACAGACCCTCCAGGTGAGCAGAGATCCTGGATATTCAGGGACAAAGGACAGCAGCAGCAAGATGTCCATCCTGACCTTGTCCCATGTGTCTCCCCGCAGAACATTTCCTGCTGCAGCAAGAACAGGAGCATCGCTACACTAGTGGCACCCAGCAGGTGAGGTACCTGGACAACTTCAACTGGGACCGGCAGGAGATCTGTTCCTACAACAGCGAGGTGAGATTCTCTGTGGCCCGCATAGAGCTGGGATGGGCAATTGCTGAGTATTGGAACAGGGACCAGTGGCTTAGCTACCTGTGGGCTTCAAGGGAGAAATACCACAGCTGTAACTGGAGGAGGACTCGGAGTGTGATGGACAGAAGAAGTGAGTCTTTGAAGGGGAGAAGAGAAGGGTGGCATGGGGAAACTTGGCTTCCCTAGCCTTGGACCACTCTTACCCTCCTCTGTCACCTCCCTGTTTGGCAGCCATTGAATATCAGAGGAGCTTGGGGGATGGTGGGAGGTAGGTCTGAGTTCAGTGGGGCAGAAGGAGAATGAGAACTATGGACTGGAGCAGTTAGGATTTCTATTATGAGTCTAAGACTGCAGGAAGTGGCTTGCAGGAGCCCTGCAGAAATCATGGGACAGGATCCCATGCCTAACAAATGCACCTCCCCTCCTGCCAATTCCTGGAGCAATGGACGCACCTGACAGGTGGAAGAAGACATGAAATGCTCCTATACTAGATGTTTCTGGTTGAAGCAGAGTGCATCTTCCATGATGGTCCTTCACTGAGGGAAGAAAGAAAGAGGATTAAAGGTGAATGTGGCTCGGAGACATGTAATACAAGGTCATGTTGTAGGCAGTGGATCTGGATGCATTGACAAATGAGTTTGGAGGAGAAATCCATATGATGTCCATATATGTCCGTTGATTCCTGAGGAAGATTAACCAACACTCTCCATCTGTCTTTTTCTCTCTTTCAGTTAAACGCAGAGTGAAAATTTCTCCCACGCAAACAGAGCTGTGGGGCTATCCCAACTAGCTGGTTTGTTCTGTAACAAGGTTTTATTCTTCTGAAATTAAGATAAAGTGGTTTAAAACTGGGCAGGAGGATGTGGACAATGTTGTGTATGAGGACCACTTCCTAAATGGAATCTCTCCCGATGCTGGTCACTTTGGAAGTCACACCGAAGCAAGGGATGTCTGTGCTTGTCAGGTGGAGCACGTCAGCCTGCCAGTGCTCATCACCGTGGCCTGGGGTAAGCGACTGGAAATGGGGAGGCCAGGCTTCATCATGGTGGGACTTGTCATCTATCAGAAGAAAAAGAAAGGTGAATTATTCATGAGCAAAGTAGAAGCCCATTTTTAATGGGACTGCAGAGAGATGTTTTAAAGCCTGTGAGGCTTCACCAGAATTTAGATTTACCATGGTAATTTTCTTGGGTTCCCAGCATTCAAGTGGGTTTTATATGATCTAATCCAATATCCGCAGAAGCCAGTGATAGGTTTTAATTTATTTTCACTGATGTTAGACTGGGCTTTCAGTGATGAGAAGCCATTTTAGGACTATCATCAGCTGCTGAAAGGTCAGCCCTGTCCTCTGAGATACAGTCCTAGGCTATAGTTATGGTTTCTTATGAGTATCGAATTAGCTGCTTCATTCCCAAATGTCTCCACATTGCTTTGTTGCAGACATATTTTGTGGACTCTAGAAGCAAATACGTTCATACTTATTTATAGAAGGATTAAATACCTTTCTTTTGAAACTGTGCAGGAGAAAAAAAGAGAGAACATGATCTTCTAGAAAGCTGCATTCGTGTTCTCAAAATGTTGATTTGCTGAGGAACAGCATCTTATCCAGCCTTTACTTTCTCCTTTCTAATAATTTAAGATTATTAGAATCACAAACAAGTACTGGGCAAGTCATTCTTGTGTGATATCTTTCATGGTGCAATGAGGAATATCCTTCAACTTAATCCTGTACGGTTATTTTTCCATAAGCAGGTTCCCGTAAGCAAGCCACATCCCATGTAGCCCTTTGCTCCCATTAATTCTCTGTCTATGGGTGTAGGTCACCAGCATCAGGAGGACCTTAATTCCCTGCCCACCGTCACAGCTAATAGCTGCAGAAGAAAAGGCTTGGTACTGAAAACACTGAAACCCCCTTCCTTAGACCCAAACATCAGTTTCCCAGTGAATTGTGACGAGAATGCCTTACAGATTTGACTCTATAGGAATCAGTTTTCCAGCCTACCCAGAGCCTGAGCTCGTTGTACCTGTGTTGTTCAGGGCTCCATGTTATCCAAGTGATAAATGCTTTGGGGAGGCCTCCAAGGTCATCTCAGAAACTGGATTCTCCTGCCAAAAATAAATCCTCTACCAGAACAGCCTCTGGCAGGGCTGCCATGGGCTCTCTGAAGCTCAGCCAACCCCATGGGTCTTAGCAGATCTGTTTGGTGGATTAGCATGGGACCATCGTGCACTTGGAGATGATGGGGAGAAGAAGCAGGCTGATAGCTGCTTCAGGACTTCAGAGCAGAGATGCATCCACAGACTGTTAGGATGAACATGGAAACCACAGGAAAATCATTCAGGAGAGCAAATGGAGACTCTGCTAACAGGAGCCTGGAGGAGCTTTTCCTGTCCCTCAGTCTAGCTGGCACGGTTACTGACAATGCTCCAAAGCCTGCGTGAGAAGTTCCTCCACCCATTTCTGCTCTTTGTTGCCGCAGGGCTGCCATGCCTGTCCACTGCAGCCAGAGAAGGTGGCTCACGGAAAGGGACACACTGCTGGGTGACTAAGTCCACAGCAAACCTCTGCGAATCTGTTTCTGTCTCTCAGAGTTAAGAGGAGCTCTTGCTCCCTCCTCTTTCCCAACACGGTTCCTTTTCCTCCTAGTGTTGTCCACAGCAGGATGCTGACCCTTCTCCTCTTGGAAAAACTGTGGATTTGCAAATTGTCAGACTTGGAAATTCGAGAGTAATCTCAGGGACAGGCGTTGGGCCGTTGAGGCTTGGTTGGACTCTGCTCCTGCACAAAGCTGCAGGAGAAAAGCTAGAGCTCCCCGGCCCTGCACACACCTGGAGAGAGAAGAGAGGAATAAATAATGGCATTTCTAAGGAATGTGTTGTACTTTGTGCGATTTATCTAAGGGTCTGAAAGGATTTAATAACTGAGAGCTAATTAAATGTACTAATTAACCTGGTGTTTAATCACGGCTCTTTGCTAGCTTTCCGTGCTGCTGAAGCAGAGACGTAGTCCCATATATCATGACATCCAGCCACTTTGCTTAATTGTGATCCCTCTGCACATGGTGCAGGCACTCAGCTGCTGAGGTGATGAGAGGGACACGGAAGCCCACGTACAGCAGAAAATGAGAGGGGTGAAGCCAGCCCTGTGTGACTAACAACCTGGGAGCTTATTTCCATGAAGAGGATATTGACAGGCTAATTTGTTTCCTCTCCCCATTATCACTGGTTTGTTCTCATTGACACCACTGTTTTTCTAAGGTGGATGGGGACAGTCTGCTTCTGGGCACCTGGTGGCAAAACGGCCATCTTATTTCGTGGTCCCATCCTTGTTACAGTGGCTCTGAGCAGCTCTGCTACAACCAGGAGGAGGAGGCTGCTCACTTTCTCCAATCCCCTGTGGGCTTGCCTTTCTGTGGGGATCTATACTGGTGCTACTGGTACTTTTTAGGTATATAACCCACACAACCAACCCTCAGATCTCCATGAGCTGTTTCCTCAGAGCCACAAAAGAAGGGACATCTGAAGTGAACACCAAGAGCCAGTTCAATCCAGCAGTAGATCAGAAGCAATGTGACTTTCCTGCTTCCGAGGCTAAATAGTTCCACCTGGCTCTGGAGCTATGGGCGACCCCGGAGCAGCTTGGTGGGCTGATGGATGGCTGTGGGCCCAGGAGAAGATGTTCTCCACAGGAGAATCAGAGGCAGAGAACTGAGCAACCTGGTGTAGTGCAGAGTGCCCCTGCCCATGACAGGAGGGCTGGAACTAGATGGTCTTTGAGGTCCCTTCCAACCCAAACCATTCTATGATTCTGTGATTCTATGAACTCACAAGGTCCAAAATCCTGGCCAGAAGCTTGAGTTTGCTCCCAGCTGTAACTCTGTCTACACACTGGTCATTTATTACTGCTAATCTGATGTCATGAGACCCCCCCCGCAGTGCTGCGTTCAGCTCTGGGGCCCCCAACTTAAGAAGGACATGGAGCTGTTGGAGCGGGTCCAGAGGAGAACATGAAGATGATCCAAGGGCTGGAACACCTCTGCTGCAGAGACAGGCTGAGAGAGTTGGGGCTGTTCAGCCTGGAGAAGAGAAGGCTCCAGGGTGATCTTATTGCAGCCTTCCAGTACCTAAAGGGGCCAACAGGAAAGCTGGAGAGGGAGTTTTGCAAGAGCGTGTAGTGACAGGACAAGGGGCGATAGCTTTAAATTGAAAGAGGGGAGATTTAGATTAGATATAAGGAAGAAATTTTTCACTGTGAGGGTGGTGAGGCACTGGAACAGGTTGCCCAGAGAAGTTGTGGCTGCCTCATCCCTGGAAGTGTTCAAGGCCAGGTTGGATGAGGCTTTGGGCAACCTGGTGTAGTGGAGGTGTCTCTCCCCATGGCAGGGGGGTTGGAACTAGATGATCTTTAAAGTCTCTTTCAACCCCAACCGTTCTATGATTCTACAAATATAAACACGGGATGGAGGTGAGTTTCTCTCAGGCTCATGACCTCAACTTGGAGTCATGACTCCTTCTTTAGGAGCTTCTGATTCAAATGTGGCTGGAAATGAGTCTACATGAGCACAAGGTCATTAAATTAGCTGGGGAAACAGGCTGCAGTGGGGGGATGAAGCAGTCACCTTCATTGGAATTCTCCAAGGCAAAGCCAGGCACGGATCTCTCCGGGATGTCTTAGGAGAATGAATCAGACCTGCCAGGATGTGGGAGGAGGGGGGGGGCAATCCACCGGGGGCTTTTTTTTCCAAACTGAACAAGCAAATGATTTTACGAAACCAGCAATCCCCCAGTGTCTCCTTGCGCAGCCCTATGCAGCCGGCGGAGGAAATTGGTAACTGTACCCAGCAAGCCTGTTTTTAATTAACAAATAATTATCTACAAATTGCTGTAATTATTGCCTTGGATTCCAGAGGATGGGGACGTTAGCGCGAGATGAGCACTGTTTCCTTGCGAGTGAAATATTTTCCCTGCCTTATCTCCAGCGCCCTGCTGCTGTGAGGTTTGGGGACTCGGCAGCGCTTTCCTTTTGAGAAAGTGATAAAACAGCTCGGGCTGCCTGGAAGTGGAAGCGTGGTGGAAAAGGCACCGAAGGGAGGACAGTTTCTTACGTTTATTGGGTTGTCTGCCCTCATGCTGGAGTGCTTTGGGGGATGCCAGTTAAGACATAAACCCCAGTACCGAATGCCAGGGGGAGGGTGCTTGCACATCAGCGAGCTGTCGGAGCAAAACGAGCATCCTGGTTTGCAATCTTTCAATGAGGAGGGGGTAAAAACAGGTTTGGAAAAAGGAGGTTAGTGTTAATTCGGATCAAATGGGGAGCATGGAGCTACCCTGAGCCTTCAGCACTGAGGGATGCGGGTCTGGAGAGGGTGCAGCACCAGCCATGACCTTCTGGACCACGTTGAGGAGGGAGAGTGGTGCACGCAGAGCCCTTCCACCACTTTTCCTTCAGGCTGTACTGCCAAACCTCATGGTGGATATCCACAACCACCATGTTTTCTGGTTATGAAGCGGGTCCCCCATGGTAGCCTAAGTACTAACGCACAAGGATGCTTGTTGTCCTGAAGGGCTTATACCCTTTCAACAAGTCTAACGGGAAATTCCACCCTAGTTTGCCAGGAGGACACCAAAAGACTGCGACATGTCCTGAGCTCAATGGGCAACCTGCTGAAGAGTTCCCAAACCCAAACATTCAGCCTTACTCTGTGTGTTTAATCTCCGAATCCTGCCATGTCCCATGAAACAATGCCCTTTTTTCTGTCACTCCTAAGCGTTTCCTCTGAACGATGCCGCTCCCTGCCAGGGTTTCCATGACAGCCTCCACTTCAAGCAACCGAGGTGCTTTTTGTTATTCATCTGCGGCGTGTTCACCCGAGGTGAGCTGCCTGTGCCACCGCGTGCTATGTCTTTCCATTTCTCTGTGCAGACATCAGCCATTTTGGGTTGGGGGGCCCTGCAACCCCTTCCAAGGTGATGTGGGGTGCATTGCTGACTCTTGCAGCATCCCTGC